CGGTGACCATCCCAATGATGTCCATCTGGAATAATTTCACCTTTGGGGGTCAATTTGAGATCTGGAAATACGGGCGCTTCGGGTGCATCAGGCTCGACATCGCTGTCGGCTGGTAGAGGCGTACCTGGCTCGTATTCATACTCATCTTGCGGTGGATGCAAACTGGACTCAAGAGGCACAGCTTTGGGTGTCTGCGGAATGACCTGGTCCTCGAGGCGATCGGCTTTGGGTGCTTTTGAGTCGATCAGAGCTTTCAAAGGAAAGATGAAACCCTCGGATGGCAATTCCAACCTCTTTGTTCTTTGGATTGTCAGTGCACCCCAGTTGACATGATAATCTGCGGCTTCCAACTTGGCAACTAAGTATTCACCCTTCCAATCATGACCTGGTTGGATGTAATACCCAAGGAAAATTCCTTCATTTGCTGTTGGGGAGAGCTTACCCGATGTGTTATCCAACCTCTTGGGGTTATTCCAGAACAACACTTTGGCACCAAATGGAATGTGCATTGCAGGGAACTCTTCACCAAACCTGAGTTGCCATGGGGAATCACTGCCGTCAAGCTGGGGGCTTGCATTGATCGCGGTCGCATGATGCTGCATGGCCAATGGCCACATCTTCAAAGGAAGTCCTGATTGCAACAAGTTGCTCCGGGCACCTTCCAACATCTGACGAACTTCGCGCTCAGCGAAAGACTTTGATGAATCTACGTATTCAATGGAAGTCTGGTGTCTGTAACCCAAATCCTTGATGGCCCTGATCAATTCTGGGGAATTGTCAGTGTACACAACTTGAACATCATCCTTTGATCCAATGAAGTGATTCAAACCATCAACACAGCTTTGTGAGTCCTTGGACTGGCTAGGGTAGACATACCGATATTGGGTGTGCAGATCTTTCAACACCAATGCAACTTGCTCCCCCCTGAAACCCTCTTCTACATTTTTCTTGATGATGACATGATCCCCAATGATGTGGTCACCAAACACTTCAGTTTCGATTCTCTTCTGACCACCCTTCTTTCGTGCCTGAGGTGCCATCATCCTTGCTCGTTGGCAGGTTCTGCAAAAGGGGTTCTTGGGGAAATGCGTGTACTGATGTTGGGTACTTGCAGCTTCAGCCAACAGATCCTCAGTCTTGCGGCTTCGGATGTACTCCTGCTGAGCGTCATCCTCCACCAGCTCATCCAACTGCTCTTCATCTTGGGCTTCGTCCCGCTTGGCTTTTGAGCTCGACCGTGAGGTCGGCATTGCAAACAACTTTTTGAGGTGCTTATCCTTTTGAAATTGATCTTTGGGATAAACCTTGCAACTATCATCCAAGATTGGGACATGACCTTCGATCTTGAGCTGGACGACCTTGTCATCTGGACGGACTAGGATTGGTTTGCCATTGGCAGGCCATACGAAACTGTAACCCTGATCTACGCATCTCGTTCCTACAGAGAGCACAGCTGGGGTATGATCAAGCACATACGGATGCACGGGATCTGGCAATGCGGACAACTTGACATCAGCAACTTCGTTTGCCTCGGTCGAACCATTGGCTGTGACTAAGGAAATCGGATGCTCGGCTGCACGGCAGTTCTTGGCACTTACATCCCTCAGCATTCCTTTGGACACAAGATCGGATTCACTACCTGAGTCGACAAGCCAACTAACACCGGCCTTTGGCGCAGCTGTGGCAATTGACGGGAAACGACCAATGTCTCTAAGGGCTTTGGGACCGCTGATGAACCTGCACTCTTTGCATGTGATGTCACGTGTGTCCTCATCCCAACAACAAAACCCACAACTTGGTGCAACATCTGAATCATGAAGTTTCACAGTTTCTTGGAGCTGTCTTGCACGAACCTGAGCTTCATGCTGTTCAACCTTTGATGAAACTGGAACATCTTCAGCTGTCTTGTACACCTTAGTGAACTCTCTTGGACGGTGCTTGACTGGGACTTGACGACCGACTGCCTTCACCTCGATCACATGTGGGGCCTTTCGGAATCTAAGACGCTTCATGCTGACACTTGCCTCATCAGAGCACGAAGTTACCTTCGGCTGTTTTCGGACGATGCATGCAAACTTCTGGATCAGACATGGAGCGGCTGTGGAATCCTTGCCCTTCTTCTTGGGAGCGGGTGAATTGGCCCGTTTGGTGTCTTTGGTGGCGGCAGCGGCTTTGTCATCATGTTTATAAAAACATTTGTCACCACGTCTGCACTTTCCCTGGGCATGATAGATGCATGGGGTTTTAGCCATTTCTTCTTTAGACATCTTCTTCCCCTTATCATCCTTATTGCCCCTTGATGGTGAACGTGTTTTGGTTCTTCTGGGTGATTGAGTTCGAGATTTATCATCTTTGACATGCTTGAATGGACACTTCTTCCCCTTATCACAGGTACCCTTTTGGAACTTATAGCAAATCTTGTCACCTTTGCCACCTCGTTCCTGCGATCTACCGCGACTTGGAGAGCCCTTTCGGCCGCCGCGACCATCGCCTTTGGCGGGTGCGGCCTTTGTGTCCTTAATCCCAGCCTTGTTCTTCTCCGCAATGCGGTTCCTGTTCTCCCTCAATCGTTCACGATCGATCAAGTTCTTCATGGATTGGTGAAGAAAACTGTAAGACTTTTCATGGGATTTCTCATGAGCACGGTCAAACACCTCGATGTCATATTTCAGCAACTGACTTGGTCGGATCTGCCTCAACAAGATGTCCCTTAACACAGCATCATCAGGGGTGACAGCCATGCCAGCTAGGGTAGCATCCCATTTGTTGATGAATCTTCGGAGATCCTGGACAGTATCGCCTACTTTGACAACACCCAAAAGATCTTCTACTCTGTAAAGGCTACCTGCTTCTTCTGATGTCTTGAAGTAGTCCTCGAACATAAGCAGAACATATCTTCCCCTGACCTGGATGCCTTTTCGGGATTGCTGCTCCTTGAAATTCAAGATCCTAGTTGCGAGGTCCCCTCCGGCTGAGCGCGTGAGCGCTGCTGATAACTTTGTATCCAGCGTGAGGAACTTTCCAGGATCTTGGAGTTTCTTCTCCAACTGCTCTCTGGTGCACTCTTGATCGTACACCTCGTTGAGCCAGAGCCACGCCTCATCCGGGCGATCTGAACAGCTTTTCACTTCATCCCTGACATGATTCTTCCAAGTTCTATATGACTCCGGAGCGGGCATGTTGTTCAGCTTGATGAGTTCAGCCTCCTTAGTTTTTGGCTTATCCTTTTCTTCCCTTTGGGTTAAGGCTTTCACCAATTCAATAAGATCTGAGGGACCCATAACTTGCTGTTGCTTGGTTGCGCTCTTAGGAGATTCATTTGGGGGAGTTTTGATAGCTTCAGTGGGAGTGAAAAACCCTGACTGCGTTGGCAATTGGGGCTGGTCGTTGCCGACAGCCGGCTTTTGCTTGGGACTGCCACCTTTGAGCAGCTCATCCAACTTGGCCTTTGCTTCCTGCGCCAACACTGCAGGCGTCTTAAACTCAAGAATCGGCTCATCACTGCCTCTGGCAGCCTGTGCATCGGATGCTTTGGGAGTGGCAATATTGAAGTGGGGCACGCTAGTGGTAGCGGCCGGCTCGGCGTTCTGGACGGATGCTTTCGGAACGGAGGCATGCTGCGCTTTGGCAACATGCTTTAACTGCTCCTGAAGATCATCGATTTGGTCCTGAAGGCTAAGGTTCTGAGCCGCTGCCTCGTTGATCTTGTCGGCCATCTCCTTCTTGTAGTTCTCAAACTCAGTCCTCAAACTGATGAACCTGGCCTGATCAATTGCAGCCTGATCTTCATATTGCTTCTTTGTGGCAGCTATGGCATTCTTTGCATGTTCAACTGTCTGTGCATAGGAAGCTTCGAATTCACTAGTGATACGTTTCCTTTCCTCTGCAATTTTCTGATCATGCTTTGTGTTTGCCTCTGCCTTTACATCCTCTATTCTTTTGTCATGCGATGCCTGAGCCTGATTCAACCTGACCTCCATCTCGTCGCCTCGTTTCCTCTCCTCGTTGAGGGCACTAATGGCATTACCTTCAACCTCCTGCAGCCTTTGCTCATACTCCTGCTCCTGCATTACGAGTCTACTTGACCATTCGTTTCGAATTGAGTCAACTACTCCATGCATTATCTGAAGGTGCCTCTGTTCAGCTTCCCTCATGACTTGCAGGGATTCCCACTAGTAATCTGGGACAGGTTGTTTTGTATGAAGGTAAAGTACGCAACAACGGGTTGGAACATTGTTTCGTCATCCATCGGCTCGGGGTTGCCCCCGGCCATATTAGGCACAGCGACAGCCGATGGACCTGACCCTGGAACGGCGAGAGGATGGTCAATTGGGGTCCCCATAGCAAAGTAGTGAGACTACGGCTGATAACCTGTATTTTACAAGGTCAGCCACCAATTAGGTATACAACACTAATGGGGTGAACCTACAACCGGTAAGCGGTCAGCACTGTTTTGAACCAACGCTATCGGGCAGATCGATGATATATACAATACATGGTTTTACTGCAGGAGTTTTTACACCTTCTTTTGTGTTGTGGGGATTTTTGTCAAAGTGTGCTTTGCTGCCAGTTGAAATGATTGCGTAAAATCAGTGCATGGATCCGACCTCGCCATGGTACCCAAATATTGTAACACTGCTTGGTTATAGAGATCTATCTCTTGCTCAGAAGGTTTCCTATACCTTGGCCGTGATTCTTTTTCGGTTCTATTATGTTTTGCCAGTTTCACTTTTGGGGTAGCATTCTGCAAAGAATGGTCTGAGTCAAGAAGCGTATCCTGTATATTTATGATCTCGGTTATGGCATTTTTCCATCGGTACTGGATCATTATGGATCTATATACAGTATAATAATATCATGTAATGATCTGCACGAGATTCCCCAAGCATTCCTTTCCGGGATTTGCTGCAACGACTCTCGGGAGACTCGGATGAAAGGCTTTCATCAAAAAGGTGACCTATGCCGACTGCCGGTGTTCGCAATCCAAAGAATCAATCGTATCAACAATCCCAAACAATCGGAGCCTTCTGGGACTCCCGAAAGTCTGCCACATTTCCAGAGCGCCTTGGCACAGGATCAGAAGGGGGGACCGTTGTATGTGTACATTATATATATATAATTATATATATATATACATGTATCATATATATAATGTATATTATTATATATTATGCATATGATTACAAATATATACATGTGATAGTGAGAAATGCGTATCCTGCGAACAGGAATCCGCTGGGTGCCCTGCTCGCACATCGGTGACACTGGAATTCCAAGCTGTCGCTCTTCATCACCCTGACATGGCCATGTCATCGCCAGAAGAGGAGCTTCTGTCAGTACTGAGGGATTTTCAGTGATTTTCACCGGGGGGAGTACCGGAGGGAGTGAAGAAAATCCCGTTTTTGTAAGACGTGCTAAAGTTGTTTTATCAAAGCTGATCCCTGTTGCACCTGCTCATAAAACTCGTTAAGCAGTCTGAAAGCCCAGCCTTGGCGGTGGAGAACGAGTAGAATTACTCAAATTATGTCAAATTTGATAGAATCAGTCGAATCAGTAGAATGAGTCTTTCTCCCTAATCTCCCTACATTCATTGGAGTTGTGCCCACCAAAAGATGCTCTGGTGCCCACGTTCGTGCATGTCGAAAGGAAGGGCTGCATGACCAAGGTCAGCTGCCTGCATCATGAACATGGTCGAGCAAAGAAGCAAACCACGGTCGCCACAGCAGAGCAAATCCAAACTCTTCATAACTTGTCACTGCTTGCATCTGCTTGCTGTAGCTTACCCCCGGCCACACGCTCTCCAAACGCTTCCCATTGGCCTTGAGGTAGCAATGTGTGACAATGCGTCTATCCTCAGCATTGTCCTGGCAAGGCTGACAGGATCACCATGAGTTTTGCAGGGTTTGTAACAGATTGTACTTTAAACTTTGTTGCGAAACTGACTAGTGGCGAATGGGTAACAATGACCTCGGGATTTGGGGGAAGACTCGAGGCAAGATCCTCAAGATCACTGCTCAGGTTGTGTTCGCATCAGTCTGTTCGCATGATCTCCTGCAAGTTGAACTCTGATCCAGCAACTCTTACCTGGCTGACAGGAGATGGAAGGGCCTGTCAGCCTGTCCATGAATGCCACTAGCTTTGATCTGTGTGTTCAATGTGAATGAGGAACTCCGAAATTCCTCTCCCTATATGATCTGTACGCTTTGAGATCAAGAGCTTTGAGCTCTCTGCCCGAAACTTTCCCAGGAAGTCGAAATGCGTGGCCATATCAGTGGCCAAGATCAGACTAACCTGGGAGAAAGAGCTTTCGAGCTGAGTACTTCATAGTACCTCCTGTATTCTCTTGGATTCTCTTGGTACCAGGTCGAAAGCAAACTAATTTGCAATGGAAAACTTGTCAAATTTGATGAATGCTGCTTGACTGAGTGATCAGACAATGTGGTCTCGGTAGAGGCGGCGGTTTTCCCTAGACAGCTCCGCAGTTTTTCCAAGGGTGAGCAGTGTGGAGAACGTGTGAACACTTTACAAACAGGCTCTGCTCTGCACTGCGCAATTCTTGCTGCTCTCAAGACTAATTCGGATTCTTGGGTCTGTCCATCTCGGCGCTTCAGTTTAAAGTATGTACGTGTCGCGCAAATGCCAGTTCTGGCATGAGATTAATAGGTGAACTTCACAGAGATTGGGAATTTAGAGATAAGGGCACTGCCAGACCTATCCAACTCATTCCTTTTCCATATGCACAGAATATGAACACACAGATAATTTTACATATGATGCATATATAGAGGGATGTACAAGATATTACAAGATTGTTCAATTACATTAAGAATTGACATGAATTGACCACATAGCAACAAGGTCCGCACCTAGACGAAGCTGCCAGGATGTCACAGCCCAGGGTCTGGCAGCAACAACTAGTCACAGCAATCTTCAACGTCACAGGACAATTAAAAAAAAAACAAGCAGCTGTTGAGCTGCGTGGTCTGCTGTTGAAAGTTGATGCTTACACTGCTCTATCAACTCAACAGCAGAACCTGTGTGTCTTTAACTATCACTTCTTGTGAGTTTGCTGATCTAGCACTCAAGATTCTCAGGAACTCAAGCCTTCATAATCTGGAAG